TATTGTTTTCACTTTACATAGGGCTTTATTTCTGATTTAATTTCTGTGTACACAATTCTGAATCTACATATTTCACCTATATCAATATTAGGTAATCCGTTTGGACGATTCCATATACTATTATGTTTTAGGGTTTTATAGCTTTAGTGTCGAGTTGGTGTATAGTATTGAGGGCTATCTGCGAGAAATAAATCCTTTTTTCTGATAGATTAACTAAATTCAAAACCAATATAAAAATTTAACTGAGTAAATTGATCGGAATGTGAATGATACATAAACCTAAAATTCGTTTTGGTCTATCCCAGTGATGACATTTGCGCGGGAATTTAGTCCATTGACATCGTAATATAATTTACTTTGGATTGTAATTATCTTTAGATGTAATGTTACAGGATTTAATGTGAAATTATTTGTCTCTTCTTTTATAGTACACGAGTTTGACGTCAGGTTTGTACACATGAAGTCTCTAGTCTAAAAAAAGCCAGTGACAGAACGATAAACAGATAAGCAACTGTCTAGGGCTAAGTAAGGGAGGTGAAAAAGCCAGTATTACGCAGAACGATAAACAGTTACATAGACGGATCCAGAGGGGGTGGAAAATTTGGTTGATTTTATAGGGAAGCAGGGGCGGATCCAGCCATTTTATAAAAGGGGGGTTTCCAACTATGTGTCCCCATTCAAATGCATTGATCGTCCAAAAAAAAAGGGGGGGGGGTTCCAACCCTCGGAACCGTCCCCCCGGATCCGCCACTGGGGAAGCATGACGGGAGTGGGCAACCCTTAGGTCAGTCAGCGGCCACTCCCCTTTTATGAAAAGTTGTGGATCCGCCACTAAGATTTATATAAGCAGGTTTTCTTTGTGTAGATACCATTAAATATCACCAACTGTGACTGAGTACACAATTTGATTCATTTTAGCTCATCAGCTGGGCTCACTCGCTAAAAAGGTTCATTGCGGGCCTGCTCACTGGCTAACATTTTACGATATTCATGACTCGTGTAGAAAAGCTGATAATCTATACATGTGTGTGAGGAGTAGTTATCAAGCTTGCTTTCGTCTGTAAAAACTGTCTTAGGCCAAGTTAGGGAGGTGAAAAGCCAGTAATAGAACGATAAACAGATGATCAGGTTTTCTTCATATAGATCCCTTGAAATATCCCCCACTGAGGACACAATTTGATTCATTTTAGCTCATTAGCTGCGCTCTCTCGCCATAATAGGTTCATTGCGGCTTACTGGCTAATATGTGAAGAAAAGCTGATAACCTATACATACATGTACATGTATATGGTCAGATCATATGTTTTCGTTCGTCATATGAATTTGTACTATGCATGCCTTTTCAATGGAAATTGTGATGACAGTATGCATTCTTAATAGCACGAAAAACGATGAGAAGAGGATACATATGTCAACCAAAATTTTTCAGCAACGTCAAAATATGTGAGGACACACTATCAAGATCTATTAAGCTTGCGTTCATGTTGCGTTAAAACTGTTTTAGGAAGGTGAAAAATACCAACAATATAACAATAAATAGATAATCGATATTGTAAAATATCAATGTGTTGAAAAGCCAATGGTCTACATATATACTTAAATATGTCAACCATAAAATAAAACTGATTTAATTTACACCACAACTGTTGAAAAAACCTTTATGTTTATATAACTTATCTCATTCTAGTCCATTCAACTGACAGAATCAGTGTACATTTCATGAACTCTTTAATAACAATAATTATCATGGACTATTCTTTATAGCAATATCTGTTAGCCATTTAGGGGTCTTTTGCATTCAAAGTTTAGTTTTAGTGGGTTTATTTTGCGAAAAAGAACTCAATTTCCAGATCAAAGTTAACATTTTCTATATATTTTGTTGTGTCAAAATGACCTAATGAATATAAAGGACAGTACCCATATAGACCCAAAAATGGTATATCACATTCTTCACATGACATTTTAGCAGGAAAGACTGCCATTGGAGTATATAACTTTTAACCTGTGTATGTATAATTAAAATATGATAATAAAATTCATATCTTTTTCAGGACTTCTGATCGAACCATGTACATGTAGTATGGCATGTTTGTGAGATATGGTTTTGGTGGATAGGATGTTCATGAAGGACCTGTAGTACAAAGTATATCACTGGATTGAGCTCTTTGTCTAAGTGTATTATTAAAGTGCTTTGCTTTGAGCTCAGTTCATTGTTATGCAATTCATTCTTTGTGAAATAAAGATTCGACAGACAACTCTCATGTACAAGGATTTCAAGTCAGGGTAGTATCCATTCTATGTACAATGTAAGTAATAAGGAGATAAAAGCATTTTATTATGATTTGAACCAAACATTTTTTGTCCTTTAACCAAATTTTAAAAAAAGAACAAATTTACCCACCAATGCTACACTCGCTACTAGCAATATGATGCTAGGTTGTTTTAATACATCTGTACTGCCTACTGATGACTCGGTCCTGAGTGTAAATGGTCATTCAGTATGTTAAAAAAAAAAAAAAAAAATTATAAGGCCGATCTGGCCTAATTGATTTCTAAAACTAAATTTCATTGTACATGTTCAACATTTTTCATTCATTTGTTTATTTCTTAATTTGTGTGAATTAACATTGTTACAGTAAATGTTAATTACTACACTTTCATACCACAACAAATACTGTATTGGTATCACTTGTATTTGTATCCATATAACAAAAAAAAATTGAAAAGAGAATAATTTTGCAATACCTTTTTCATATTGAATACTATAACTTTTTTGATATTTAGACATATTATGTAGATTTTCATAATACCCACTTGACATGCTTGAAATTCTATCAGATTACTTTTGGATCAGTTATGAGTCTTTGAAGCATGCTCACAAAGGTTTTTTTGTTGATATCGTTTTCAAAACTTTTTTTTGCTTCGGCCAGCTTTGGAGGAGATGTTATCAAAGAATTGATAAAAAAACAACACAGAAGTTTACTTTCTAGTTCATCTAGCCCCAAGCATCATGTCAGGCATTTTCATTACTAAAAACCAATAAATGTCTTCTAATCTGAGAAACAATTTCGACATTTTAACAAAATATTTTACTAATGATACTGACAATCCACCACAAAGTAATATAAATAGAACCATACAAATAGTGAGCAAATACATATAAAAAAGATGTGGTATGATTGCCAATGAGACAATTCTCCACAACAGACTAAAATGACACAGAAATTAACAACTACGGGTCACCGTACAGCCTTCAACAATGAGCAAAGCCCATAACGCATAGTCATTTATGTTATTTATGTACACAAAATAAACGAAAAACAAATATTATGTAACACATAGACAAACGACAACCACTGAATTACAGCCTCCTGATATCATGTTCTCAGATATCATCTCCCATTTAAAAAAAAATCACATGAAAAAATGAACCTATTATGTGTTGCTCTCCTAGCTACAAAATTTATCCAAAATCAAAGATGTGGAAAATATTCTATCATAATCATTTGGTCATTAATGCAATTAGTGTCTCTTCCATGCCCTCTTGAACTTAAAATCTAAATATTAAATAAACAACACTCCTCATGCTCAGGTTGGTTGTCATCGTGCAACACAGTTAATAACACCATATAGGAAAAACATAGAACTCCTTTTGTCATATAAAACACTGTCAAACATCCAAACATACTATCCACATTCATCTGTGTCCACACTTGTTACCTTATAAAGATACCTCTGTAAGTTTCGCTACTACAAAAGATCATGGTTTGTTTGTTCGTTGTTTTTCGTTTTTTGCTATGGTGGTGTCGCTTTCTCTTCGACTTAAGCATTTTAAATGTCCCTCTGGTATCTTCCGCCTCCTTTTTGACACTGAAACGCTTAAAAGATATCTCTGTTAAGCTAAAACTCTTAAAAGGTAAATCTGTTACACTGCCATTAAATGCTTTACGGTATTTACACTAGAGCTCTGCTTTTTATGATTAAAGTAAACGAGAAATGACTTTCACTCGACTTAGTGTTAACGGCGTTCCCTGAAGCCGATTTCCTAAGTTCTCTTCGATGATGTTTAAAAATTATAAACCCAGCGCACAGTAACAAAATATAAGTCCAATAAGGGAGCTACCATTTGATTTTTAAGGGGGGGCTAGGATGAAAAATTTTGTCCTGCATTTTTTTTAAGTTGTAATCTCTGTCCTGTCTTTTTATTTTCCACTCTATTCGGTCCTGCCTTTTTTTTAAAAGTTTATCCTGACTTTTTTTTACCTAAATTGTCATTCTGACTTTTTTTTTGCAAGTGTCTCATCCTGCCTTTTTTTTTACTCAAAACTTTCAAATTTCATCCTAGCCCCCCCCCCCCCCCCCCCAATCAAATGGTAGCTCCATAAAAACAGACAGCACATGGCATTAAAGCCAGACAAACAACAATTCGTAAAAATTATTCACAGAAAACTAAAGATTGAGTGTGTTGCACCCCATGCACTAAAAACTGGGGATGTATCCAAGTGCTTCTGATGGTTAGCAGTTCTTGCTTCAAGTGGGGCCGTCGTGCTGCTTATGGCGAGTCAAAATCCGTTTATTGGTCGTGAACAAGGGAGGACGGAACTAAGTAAAACTTAAGAAGAGATTATTTCAACCTCAGCATTAAGTAGCTTCCTTTAACGCAGCCATAATCTGTCAAGGTCATCCTTTAAGAATTTTGTGTTCAGGAACTTTATTTCTTTTTTTTTTTTTTTTATCGCGGGAGATATTTGTTTAAGCTGTTATAAAATAACTCAACATATAATTTGTTTAATTTTACGGAATAAACATTTCTAAAAGTCTAATCTGATGTGTAGTTTTATCTCTGTTTTGAAAGAATAGTTATAATTATTATGATTATTATCTAACTACATTAATAATTAGAAATTAATGGAAGTGGAAGAGAGTATAAATGAATGCATTATTTAAGCATATATATCTAAGGTCAAAATGTAAGCTGTAATCAACGTTTATTTACACAGATACTAGAGTACTTACATACTGTTATATAAAGGAAAACAGGTGACTGATTTTGGCAAAGATGAAAAACAGAGTTCTTGACTGAATACAGTGGATCAAAGTTGTTCCTCAGAGGCTCTAATTTTGTAATCATGACTTCGATTTCAAAACTTACAGAAGAAGAAAGAAACTTCACCAAATTTTTCTTGCTCAACTTTAAAGTATCACCTGATATTGCAAGGAGATTCTTTGACGGAGTATTTCCGCCAACACAATTAGCTCAAAATATTAACAGTAGTATGCATGTCATCATCAAATTGAAAAATCAAAAAAGAATCAATCAGGCCCAGTTAGAGCTACTTATGGCTGTTCCAGGAACGATATGGCCAAATTACCTTCCTTCGATGCCTGTGGGAACAAAAGGTAAAAATATTATGATAATAGAATGAATAGTTTTTCTTTTACATTCACATTCTGTTTTTAGATAACGCTTAGATTGTGGCGTAAACCTGTGACTAAACATACGAATGTGACATATTACACTTTTGTTTTTGTACCAAAATAAACAATTGGTTTATATTTCTGTGTTGAGCCGATGTCAATGTCATGCCAAATAACCATCGTCTTAATTCGAATCAGCCTGTTTTGTTTACGCCAACCGACCCATGAGTTAAATCGAACTGTCCTTTTCAGTGTAGAAACGTTACAGCTTTATTTATGCAGAGATTCAGTTTGACCTGTGGTTTTTCAGTCTATCGATCTAAAGTTTTCGTGCTTCAAATTTCCAACTTGTGTGCGAGTCAAAAAATACTGTGAAAAGTTCTAATCGAAATTAGATTTCTTTTTTAATTTTAATTGACAAGATGTTTCTTTTTTAATTTTAATAACCACAGTTTGCATGGTCATGATGACGGGTGTCACATGTGGATCAGGAACTACTTACCCTTCCAGAGCACATAAGTTCACATCGGTTCCTGGTTGGGTTCGTGTTACTCAGTCCTTAGTTATCTAATTAGTGTTTTGTGATCTTTTCGTTATTTTTTTTTTATTTTTTGCAATGGCGTTGTCAGTTTTCCTTAGACAGGTGAGTTTTGAATGTTCGTTTGTAATTTTGGTATCTTCCGAATCATTGTTTCATATGATTGCTTAATAACGCAAGGTTAATGATCTGTAAACCCTAAGATCCCCTGGTATGTAAGAATAAAAAAAAAAATAATAGATTTTTTTCATATTTTGCCAAAATGTGGTACATTGTTAAGACTGTGTTATGTTACATCAAAGTACTGAAGCACTGAACATCGGATGACAGCAAGTTCTGGTGGATGGTCACAAACATTTGTCTCAGAAAAAAAATCACATCTCTATACCTGAAAGTTAGGTTAAGGTACATAGATATATTTTTTTCTGAGACAAGTTCCTGTGTGGATGATGAATAAATGACAGGGAATTCAACCTCACCGTAATAACTATTATATTGTAGTGATATAATCATTTGTTATCAGTATACTCTGGTTTGTTGTTATATATTATATTGATATTTGTATAACAGTTACATATAATTTTCACCCATTTGCATATCATTCTATTCTACTATTCTAATGATAATGCAGTGCAAGTGCATGGTGGACACTCTTCTGTAATAATTTGTTTTTCCAGGAACATATATATTAGATATACTGTTCCCAGGTTTTTCAAATAGATTGGATTTGAGTAGGCATTCATATTTTCCCGCGTTTGTTGCAAAACGTTCTTGAGATATTCTTCCGCATGCGTTAACACAAATTTTCTGTATTCTTGATTTGTTATTGATATATATACATGTATTTCTCACGACAAAACATTTTACATCATTTATCTTTGTTCTTAAAAATTATTTTCATGAATATTTATTGATGAAATTAATATATAACAAGCGATAAAGAATTCTATTTTGCACTCGATAATATCCGCGTAATTATACGAAATACGTTCGGTTATCAGTCAAAAACGCAAGTCACGTGGGTAGAAATAAGCATGGCATCCTAACCCAATCTAATACTTCGTCTACTGTCAAGCAGTTGGCCAGGATCCCAGGCTAGGTAGAAATGTCTGTGGCAACATAACACCGGAATGCCCACACGGTCATCCGCTGTAAAAATGACACACAAAAAAAAAAAAATAAAATAAAATTATAGGTTCGGAGCATTACAGATAAAATACGAGAAGTTAGCTCTTATAAAATGTTTTCAAAATGCTATAACATAAAATAGGGAAAAAATTTGTAGATTCCTTTAGACATTGTAATAATATCTGAGTTACCTCCACTTAATACCCTAAATTAAATAAATTGCAATCAAGCAAAAATTATCTACATTTGTAAAAATATTAGAAGTTAAAATAACAAAAATTTGTTCATTAAATTGAAAATTCACATTACTTAATTGCATCAACTTTTGCTGACTTGATTAAAAATTCACATTACTTAATTGCATTTCTGCATCAAATTTTGCAGACTTGATTATAAAAATCTAGACCTATTGTTGTCTGCTATTTTACAATTTAAGATAGCGAATATTAAAAGACAACCATACTCCTTTCTTGTAATCGATATATGAATGACAACATCAAAATAAATATTCAAAAAGGAGAAAGACAAAATTCTCCTGGTTTAATCTACTCACTGGTTCAACATCCGAAATTATTAAACAACAAAATAAAGTCCGAAGTTTGGTAAAGATTTGTGAAAATAACAGTAGTGTGAAATGAATATAAGGGAAATTAACCCCACCTCTTTTCATATTTTTTTCCTTTTGTTTTAGCTACCTCTTCTAAGGACTTTGATCTCACACTGATGATATTTCTGCTGCGTAATATAGGAGGCGTATTAACACCCTCAAATGGTTGGGATCAACTTCCGCATCCGAGTGATATGTTACCCGGAGCTCACCTAGCTACAATGAAGTGGTACAGAAATAAGTTGGCCCATACAGCAGTAACGTCTATGGATAAAAATGAATTTACAGACAAATGGACTCGCGTTGAAAAGGTATGTTGTAGCAAGCGAACCACATTCTATCATTTTGTTCAGATATGCGTCATTGTGAATTAGAACAAAAATTAAAGATAAGTATCTATTAGCTGATATTATTCAAAAGTGTAAAAAAAATGTGAACACAGGTATCTTCTATAAATGACTTATTTTCGATTATGTTAATTTAATGTTCATTTATCTAAGGCCAACTTCCAAAGGGGAAGATAATAAGACTTCATACTTTTAATACAGGTAACTTTTTCGGGAAGGGGTATTTAATACACATAAGCGTGTCCGTCTGTAAAGGTCCGTTTTGAAAGCAATTATACACTTATTTCAAACGGGATAGCACATCCTCATTTTTACGGAGATGTTGTTTACCGAGCCCGGAAATATGGAAACGATCCGGGTAAACTTATCGATCCTTTACATAAACTTATTCTAAAAGGTTACCAATTCAACACTGTAATTAGATCTTTGAATATTGTTTTATTGGTATTAATTTTGATTTTGTTATCAGTAGATTAAGATCAAACTAAATGTTATTTGTATATACATATGCACATTCATGGCTCTACAATCTGTCGATACCTGTATCTTGGCATTGCACAAGGTCATATTTTTCTCTGACTGTTTATGACGTCTTGACACTAAATCCATTGGAGGTTGGATGTGTACTAATTGATATTTTAATCTTAGATGCATGATTTTTTTCATTAGTTGTTATTGGCTTTGAACTAGCTGTCAGTAACTGCGAGTACTCTTAGATCTATACTTAGTGTCTTTCTGTTGTGTGGATGTATAAGTACCCGTCCACGTCCACTCTGTGTTTTTCTATTTGTTTCCATCTGATGAGTTAAGCCTTTTTCAACTGATTTTTATAGTTTTTTTCTTATGTTGTACTGTTACACCACTGTCCCAGGTTAGTGGTGGGTTGGCGCCTTCAAACGAGTTTAACCCCGCCACATTCTGTATGTGCCTGTCCCAAGTCATGAGCCTGTAATTCAGTGGTCGTCGTTTGTTGCTGTGTAACATATTTGTTTTTCGTTCATTATTTTGTACATAAATTAGGCTGTTAGTTTTCTCGTTTGAATTGTTTTACATTTGTCATTTTTGGGCCTTTTATAGCTGACTATGCGGTATGGGCTTTGCTCATTGTTGAGGACCGTACGGTGACCTAGAGTTGTTAATTTCTGTGTCATTTGGTCTCTTGAGGAAAGTTGTCTCATTGGCAATCATACCACATTTATTTTTATATGTATGTAAAAATATTTAAGGCGTTGCCACAAATATTTGTGTAAAGAAAAGGAGATGTAGGGTATCAAAAATAACCAAATTAACACTAAAGCTAAATAAGGTCAACACTCGAGTTTCTTCAATTGGTACATGTCTTTACACTATTTCAAGCTCGAAACTTTCATGAAAACCATAATCACAGTTTCATGTATATGTTTGTAATATAATGACTTTTCTGACAAAAGATTGACGAAAGATACCAGAGGGACAGTCAAACTCATAGATCGAAAACAAACTGACAACGCCATGGCCAAAAATAAATAGACAAACAGACAAATAATAGTACAGATGACAACAAATGGTATATAGTTGAACTTTGATCGGTGCATGTGAATATTGTTGGCAAATGTTCAAAACCATAGTTTTAGTATATGTTAAGCAACGGTCCAGAAAATTAGCCAGTCAGATATTTATAACATGAAAAAAAAGAAGATATGGTATGATTACCAATGAGGTAACTATCCACCAGAAACAAACTGACATAGATGTTAGGATTTATACGTCACCCTACGGCATTTAACAATAAGAAATACTCATACCACATTGCAAGCTAGAAAAGGATCCGACATGACAAATGTAGAAAAGTTCAAACGACATAACTAACGGCATGGCATTATTTATGTACAAACAATTATAAACGAAAAGCAGATGTAACTCACAACAACAAACGACAACCAATGAAATTCAGGCTCATGATTTTGATACAGGCACACATCGAACTTGGAGGTAACCATGTTTGCGGATGCCCAACCCACCCTAACCTGGGACAGTGGTGTTAAACCGCAACATACATCATTGCAGTTCCTTTGCCTTTTGTGATTTTGCTGTTCATGTACTGATTGTGTGTCCTGGATGGATACCCCATATCATTTCTTTTCTATTATGTAAGAACTCAATGTAAAAATCAGTTGCAAAGGGGTTCACTCAGCGGATTGATTCAAAGCTAAGAAAACAACTTACAAGAAACCCAATATACTCCACCCGAGTAAGACCTACCCTAGAATATGCTTCTCCAGTATGGGACCCGCACCAAATCACCATTACACGAGATATCGAGCAAGTACAGATACAAGCAGCTCGCTTAATTTTGTCTATAGCTGCTAAAGGAACAACTCTCAAGGATGTGTAACTAAATTAATGGACCAACTAAGTGGGAATCTCTCCAACACAATCGATTGAAACAGAGTCTTGTGCTGTGTTATAAGACCCAACACCAGTTGACTGTCATTGGTCAATCCAAGTACTACACATCAGGTGACAGTAGGACCAGAGGCAACCACAATCTTAGACAAGCTAGAGTAAAGAGAGACGTACATTATCATACCTTCTTCCCTAGAACAACAAGAGAATGGAACAAATTAATAGAATCTGTAGTGGAGTCCGAATCATTAGAGGACTTCAGGGCCAATGTGAACAACATCTCCTTGGTCCAGTCACATCTCAACTAGACAGTAGAATACCCCGTGTACATATTTGTGAATGCTCACTTACTGATTTTAATGTAAATTCCATCCAGTTTAACTTTTCCTGGACCTTTACTTTTAGCCAAAGGAGTGGCCGCCTGTCTGTTTGAGATGCACCCGAGTCAATAACACTCAATTGCAGAGTCCGACTAGTAACCGGGAAGAAAAAGAAAGACAGAAAGTACGCTACTGAAATCAGCTTAAGTACGATATAGGAACAATAATTTCCGGTACAATAAAGATTCATTGGGATATAAAACGTTTGTGAGTTGGTTTATCGGTACAATTGATGAAAGATCTTAATCACACCTTTTTCAAACAGAGAATAAATAATGACATGTCTGCTGAAAATTGATTCATAAGAAAAGTTTATTGAAATAAGTACAGGCAAAAACGCAAATGATTTAAAAAGAAAGCCCTTTCCAGGAGTTAAAAATGATAAAGCACAAAATTATAATTCGAACTTTTAAAATACTATATTGGTCTAACCTCTATTCCATTCCTTTTCATCCAATTAGAATTTATATACAGACCAATATTCTGAATGGATGAAAATACAAAAAAAAAAAACCAAAACTAAACAGTTTCCTACATAATAAGCTAAAAACCGGCAAGCTTTTTGGAAAAGCTATTACTTGTATTAACAATAATTAACAAGTTCCGGGTCGCTTTCGATACCGATAATAATAGTATATGTTACATGTTACCTTACCTGTTACCTAAACTGTACGTTCCACCTCTCGTCATTATACTGGGATTGACACTAATAAATTCAATCAATGAAAAGAAAAATATCTACAAGTAGTTTCCGGTTGTAGTAAGAAAACCAGGACGGATTCAAGCAGAAAGATTTTGAAAGCAGAGAAAACTGTGCACCTCATTATCAGCATGACTTTAGCAAATATCAATACGAAAACTAAAAATCCAGGCTGAAAAGAAGGCGTACGTACTTTAATTCATTCATGGACCCGCGATGTGGCGGGTGTATTCTAGTATTATATAAATAAACCGTCCTTGGACGGCATTCGAACCGTTGTCCCTATCATAGATGTATAAACCAATATATACATCTATGTCCCTATTAACTTGCATTGATTTCTGCTTTGAGGGAAGCGAGAGCCTTATCTCCACTGCTACCCGAGTTAACATAATCAAATGGTAAGTTAAGGCACTTAAACTATATATGGAAAAATGAATAAAAAAAGTAAATAATCAGCAAAATCTAAAAAAAAAAAACCCCGAACAAACAAATTTTTCGTTTTTGTACCTTTTTGCATGGAATGACTCATATGGTAGTGTTGGATATCATGGTTGTAAAGTTTTAGCGATATGTAAGAAATGGTTTTGTAGATAGGTATTATTCTTAATTGAACACTTTCGAAATTTTGGTAATTGATATGGTGGCGCAACTTCCAGCACCTGTTATTAGATTCAGCGTCTTTTTCAAATAGCTGCTAAGGGGAGTACCTACAGAAATTTGGCGACAGTCAATAATTGTAAAAGAAAATAATTCCTACCTCCTCCCCAGCTTCCACCTGAAATTAGAATATTCATTCAATGCTGTGTTTAGTTATTTAAACAAACGTGGTATCTGCTCTCCAAACTTGAGATGATATGACACTATTTTTAGCCTAGTTATAGTTAAGGGAGATAACTCTAAATTATTCGACTTTTCAACATTTAAGTTAATCATTGCTGACATTTGTCTTTTTCACTTATTACACACTATGCTTTTAAGGGTTGAGATTTTACCTCCGGGTGTGGGAGTTTCTCGCTGCATTGAAGACCCATTGGTGGCCATCGGCTGTTGTCTGCTCTATGGTCGGGTTGTTGTCTCTTTGACACATTCCCCATTTCCATTCTCATTTTTATGTACCACTAAGAAACGTGTCCTTCCCCTCAAACGTGTCCAATCCTCCAAAATCCCAAATCATTGTACGCCCAATCATGTCTAACTTGTATAGAACACCGAAACGTGTCCTTTTATACCTCCATATCATCTCCTTATTTTAAAAATGCCCAAACTTGTCCTTCAATTTATGAACAATCGTTATCACACGAGGGTAGATGAAACGCGCATCTGGCTTACAAAATTACAAAACTGGTGTCTTTTGAGTATTTTTTTAATGCATGTCCTTTCAAACAAAATAAAAAAAATCTTTAAACGTTATATGTCCGATAAGCTAATCATTTATTAACTAACATATACTCTTCTCATTTTAGGCATTGACATCTTTAAATAATGGCAAAAGACCACATGAGGTCAGTGATATCTTAAACCTGGATCTTGATGGAGAAATAGCAAAAACAACTGCAGACGCAGAACTAAAGCATCTTAAAAAGGAATACATTGACTGCGATAAGGAAAAAGAACAGATAGAAAGTGATCTCTCCTTTTACAGGGAAGGACATCTTCCCAAAAACATAGCAGGTTTGTTTAATCCTGAGTGAATATGAATAGAACAAGATTAATTCGTCACCTTTTGTAAATATCTGTTTAAGTCTGGCTATCTGAGATCTTTCACACACACACACACACATACCCACACACCCACACCCACCCACCCAATCACCCACCCCACCCACCCCCACACCCACACACTCACCCCCCACACACACATATATATATATATATGTTTATAGGGCAAATGATCTTAAAAAGGGGGGGTTATGGTTTTTTCTTAAAACAATATTCTGATCCCCTATTTGATGAAAAAAATAATTTGGTCACAAAAAAAAAAAATATTTTCCCCATACCTTATAGTGTTAAATTTTGAAAAAAAATAATTTGATTATGAGCGTCGAAAAACTAAAAAACTAACAAAAAATTCTGACTTAGACAAAAATTCATAACCCCTTCCCCCCTTGAAGTTAAATGGTTGCTCCCTTAAAGCTTGTTCTATTGTCCTCTTTCTACGTCACTGTCGCAAGTTAGGGAAGGGTGGAGCGCTCACTAAAATGTTTAACGATCTCATGAGTCAAGCCTTTTCAAACTGATTTTTATAGATGTCGATTCTTTATTTATATATTAATATACATATAAATATGTCTAAATTGAAAACAACGTTCAAACCTATGATTGCGTTGGATAAAAACCGCAATTTTTATACGTGTGCATGTAAAACAAATTTCTTGGTAGAGCACAAACAACATTTTCCAAAAGACCAAAAAAGTGAAAAGTATATTTTAACAAATCGCATTTGACTAACAGGTCGAACAACTGATGTTCTTAAACCCTGCTGACTGCCATTGACGATTGCCAAATAAATTGATCACGAGATGTAACATGGATCTTAATTATTAATTTAATACCAAACAAAACAATAAACTTGCGGAGAAGATGGTATACCGCAAACATGAGGTGCAAAAATTTGTACACCATATCCGGATTTCGACAATTAATGTCTCTTCAGTGATGTTAGGGATCGAAACGGTATTTGGAAGGCCATATAATTTTCCTCAATTTAAGATAGACTCTTGAATTTTGAAGAGTCGACATAGCATGAACGGATCATATAAACCCGAAGGAAAATATAATACAAGCCCAAACGAAAAAATATAAATATGTCTAAATTAAAAACAACGTTCAAACCTATGATTGCGTTGGATAAAAACCGCAATTTTTATACGTGTGCATGTAAAACAAATTTCTTGGTAGAGGGGTCTAAATACAGCACAAACAACATTTTCCAAAAGACCAAAAAAGTGAAAAGTATATTTTAACAAATCGCATTTGACTAACAGGTCGAACAACTGATATATATATATACATGTATTCTTCTATGATCTAAATAAATGCAAGATATAAGATCAACAATAACGAAAATTTAGTTGAAGTGATGTTTCTGACTATACAAGTGAAAGATAATTTATTAATTTAAGACGACACCTAAAGTCAAGGCAAGTGTAAATGTTTAGATAAGCAGTGAAAAACATAAAGAGAGGTTGATTAATTTTATCTGAAGAAAAAAACTTTAAAGGGTTTTGTTGTCGTTACTCTGAACCATGAGTTGATTTGCTCAATAATCATGTCAGTTTCATTTTGTTTCTTTCTTTTATTTACTGATTATATATATGAATCTTTACAGAAGCGAATGCAGCGTTAGTTGATGCATGGCGGATAGAAGACGACAGTTTTTACGAGACAAAGGGATCAGAATTTGTGTATGGCAAAGTAAAGGATTCTGATTGTATTTTGGTGACATCAAATTCAGGATTAGGAAAGACCGCAACCATCCGACACATCGCATTAAAGCTTCATTCAGAAGGATTTGAAATTGTTCCCGTAGAGTCCCCAGAGGATATAATCAAATACAAAACAAAACAAAAACAAGTTTTCCTTATTGATGATGTCCTTGGAAAATATGATTTAAGTCTTACACTGCTGGAAAAATGGGAAAGAATAAACGAAAAGCTGATATGCTACTTGAAAACAGAATTGGGTTCAAACAAAATATTGTGTACACTGAGATTACAAGTAGAACGCCACAAAAGATTCAAAAATGCATCGACAATTTTAAACCAGGTAGTCATTAATTTAGAACACGAGACTACTGCACTTTCAAAAGAGGAAAAACGGAAAATGTTATTGAAACACCTAAATCGAAGTAACATAGAGAATGAACTTAAAACAGAAGAGATTGAGATAATGTGTGATTCAAATTATGCCTTTCCACTTCTTTGCAAATTAGTTTCAAATGACGAGGAAAGATTCAGAAAAAGAATCGCATTCTTTAGGCAACATTTATCACTTTTGAATGAGGAACTTAATAAGATTAGTATTGAAAATAAGAAGCTATATTGCACATTGGTGCTTTGTATGTTATATAATGGTACACTAAGCAGAAGTATGTTTGACATTGACTCGCATGAATGTGATGAGAAAATAAACAAAATAATGCAAACTTGTGGGCTTCAAAGAAACACGTCGAAGAAAGAACTTGAGGATAATGCTCTCTCTGCTACAGGATCTTATTTCACTAAGGACAGTTACAATATACGGTTTATTCATGATGCTCTTGCAGAGACTGTTGGTTGTCATTTCTGTACTTTTAATCCCAAAGTAATGTTTTCAGAGTGTCATATCTTGTTCATAAGAGATCGTGTCAGAGTTCGTTCAGATGAAAATGAGATTGAAAATGAGGATGAGAATATTGTTATTATTCAGGAAGATAAGTTGATTGAAGATCATCTTAGACCATTATTTAATAGATTGTTTAATGAATTAAAAAGTGGGAGATTTTCCAGTTTATTGATGAGCCACCTTTTTAGAAATAGAAACCTCGTCCGTATATTTGGAATCACTATTGATAATAATCGGAGCATGCTTGTATCAATACATACTTTATTGACAAAGGTTAGCTCCGAGAGAGTACAAAGAGATCAGTCTATCTTTGAAAAGACTGTTGAGTTTTTATCCAGTTATAGGGACCAGTCAGTTGTAGGGAAAAAGTTAGAAGAAATATGTTCATCAAATAAAGAATTCCAAGATAACAACGATGCAATTAGTCGAGTTATAGAGGCTGCATGGTCCAGAAGTACACTTATGTACTGGATTGTGGCCTTCGGCTGTTATGAGTTCTTCAATATGCATGGAGCAAGATTACAACTATAGAACGTAAATGGTTTCTAGGAAGAGATATTATACAGCAACCAACATTCAAGTCCTTCTTTCCTCTAGCTGTTTTGGGTGGTAGCATAGATATTGTTACACACTTAATTTCTTCTGGCGCAGATGTTAACTGCTTTTCGGAATTTTGGGAAACACCGTTATATATAGCAGTAAAGTCAAGGCGATATGACATGGTACATTTACTGTTGAACAAAGGAGCAATTGTTAACCTGAGAGGATGGTTTGCAATGAAAATTCCAATTTCGGTTACAGCAAACAAACACGAATTGACTATTTTGATGCTTGAATCTGATTTAAATCAGACCGAACTTCATATTGCAGTCCGACAAAATGACTTAAAAAAGTTGAGATCAAGTATTCGATCAGAAAATATTGATTCTAAAACAAAGAGCGGATGCACAGTTCTCCATTACGCGGTAATATTAAATAATTTAGCTGCTGTGAAGGCTTTATTACATGAAGCATTACATCAAAACGATGATCACTGTTTTGTCTCAACTCAAGACGACCTAGGAGATTTGATATGCAGAAAGCCGACACCAAAAGTAAACATAGTTGACAATAACGGACTTACTGCTCTCCATCTAGCAGTTATAAACAATAACATCGAAATAATAGCTCTTCTGCTTCGTAATAAAGCTAAGGTAAAGGTACCTGATGATTTCGATAGAACACCTTTACATTACACAAAGAGTGTCCGTGCAACACAATCATTGCTCACACATAGCTCTGAGACTTATCAAAGCGCAGAAGAGGAGTATGAATATAACAAACCAGCTCTGTCAGCTTTGAGGACCGTGTTTTCTAATATTACCCTTCAAACTGCTCTTAGAGTTGTTTGTCGTGACTGTGTAAACATGCCAGACAAAGAGGGTGATACACCCTTACATTCTGTTATTAAGGGGCGCCTTTCAAAAGAAGAGTGTAGTGATTGCATAGAAACTTTGCTACGGAATGGGGCTGATCCTTATTTATGTAATGAAAGTGGCTTTTCGGCATATGAGTTGATCGATTGCAGTTCTGATACAGCCAAATATATAAACAGTGCAACGTATAAACAATCACTTGAGAAGACTCATGCAGTATTTGCTTTAGTCCTGTTTACCTTAATTACACTGACTATTGGCCTACCAGTATGCTTTTCCATTATGATTAGTCAAGAAAGTCAAAGTGCAGTTTATTGCGTTGGGCAAGTCGCAGAATCTGGTAATATTACCTTGGTGCCGCTGACAAGAAGCATATATGTTATATTGCTCACTTTTTCACTATTTTGGTCATTATCAATTACGTTCAAAATAACATATTCCGTTTTTCTGAGGCGTACATTTCTAATTGTTGCATTAATAGGATGTGGTTGTTTCGTATTATTCGGTGTATTAGTGTACATTCAATTTATATATAAGTTTATGTATATGGCGATTTTTGTTGCTAATATATTTATCCTGATGTCACAAGGAATGTCACATTCAAATACGGTAATATTCATACATAGGCCTTCTTGGACAGGGCTGTTTGGTATTGGAAATTACCCAACATTTGTATATTTTCTATGTTTTTTTTGGTATTTGTCACAGATACATCAGTAATAGTAAGTTTAAGAGAATCTCTTTACTACATTGATTTTTATACCATTCGCGATATGAATACGCTGAACATAACAGCTTCAAATTGTACAGAATTTAGTTTAGAAAATATAACATGTTCAAGTTTATCCTATAATATTACTTATAAGAATGGTGTCGATTTCACTATACAGTGTCATTCTGACCCAAATATGACAAGTTATAGAGGCATACTTACAGTGGAATCAGAATTTATAGACTGGTCAAAAATGGGCTTCATATCTTTATTTTGTCTGAATTTTTGTCTACATGCAATACTTTCCTATTGTTTTCTACACTGTATATTTATTTTTGTTCAGAAAATATTCAGAAGGATTTTAAAAAAACCAGTACTGTTTTTAAATGGAGTGGCAATATGCAGTAACATCAATGTATCATTTTTGATTGCCGGTTATGTATATTTTTTAAAGAATAAGTAGTTGATTTGTATTCTCTTTCATATAATGAATGTTTTATCTTCACCTGTTAAGACAAAATATTACAAAATATAGTAGCAAATATATAAATGATGAAACAATTATGATTAAGAATGATTTATTACCCACGTAACCAAATCAATCTAGGAATACACAGGAGTCAGAACTGAAAGAAAGATAACGATGTGCTCTGAACGGGTTAGATTATATTATAGAATAACTACCAGTAGTGTCGTATCGAATGACAATACTCTACATCATAAGCAATACCGACATTGTATTAATCATATCCACGAAGGTTAAACAAATCAGCGAATTAGTCCTTAAATTCTCTATTTATCATTATTTGGTAATCTTGTAGGAAAAGAAGAGTCTTATTCGTGATGTACCATTGACAACAAAAAAGCATAAAAAATGAAAACAACACGTTAAATAATGTCATGCTTTCGAATCGCTTTTCTGGATTTGCTTTCATCAGGAACGCGCAAAGCCGACAAAGAACCGAAACAGTTGAAGAGCTATATGACAGAAAAATACCTAAAAAATAGCCAAATCCATCTAAGGTCAACATTACCTAAGGGAGTTGAAATCTTAATTTCTTTATAATTTCTAAATTTATAAACGGACAATTTTAGAAAGGTTTGTTAAAAATCATGTTAGTACCGAAGTACTGACTACTGAGCTGATGATTCCATCGGGGACTGATAGTCCACCAGCAGAGGTATCGACCCAGTGCTGTTAAAAATGAAAACAACACATTAAATAATTTCATGCGTCCGAAGCGCTCATCTGGATTTACCTTCATCAGGAATGCTCAATGCCGAATATTTGAAAGCCAGCAGAGGATGTATAAGAACCGAAACAGTTGAAGAGCTATCAATCGGCTAACCTCGGGTGACTCTGCTTCTCTCCATCAGGAGGTACGGAATCGGTCAAGCTGTGACGAATGGAAGAGCTATATGACAAAAAAAAAAAATGATAGGTTTATATTAAAAAACTTAAAAATATCCAGTTTGACGCGGCGCGTATCGTCACGGGAGGTGGATGTTTACTTAACTTGTCAGTATTAATAATTTATATGTGTAAACTCGATGGGAAAAAATATGATAGACGAAGCAATGATAGTTTTATTCTTTATCACAAAATTTTGAATAATAAAACTCCAGAGCATTTAAGAGACTTATTGCACGATTCAGTGGGAAGAAGACATGATCATTATACAAGACAAAGAAATAATATTACACTACTCAACACACGGACCCGTTAACAGTCTGAATATTTTATCCCAGCAACAACAAGACTATGGAACACTCTTAACGTAAACATCAGAAAATGTGAATTCCTACCATTATTCAAAAAACGAATTCGTATCCAAAATAGTAAGGTCCCAATGTATTACTATGTAGGATATCGTCTTGGTCAAATTCTGCATGCTCGCTTAAGAATGGATTCAAGTTCGTTCATTGAATTCTGACCTATTCCTTTGTAATTTAGTAGACTCCTCAAACTGTCGTTGTGGTGATGTAGAAACAAATGATCCGTTCCTGTTATCTTGTCACATACACACGGATTTAAGACATGAACTATTAGCTTCTGTTTCAGTTCTTCCTGTCCAAGTTGACACAAAAGTTTTGCTTTTTGGATCATGGTACTCTCAGATGAGCAAACAAGTCATTTATTTAGTTTGGTGCAGAAATACATTATCAAAAGCAAACGTTTTAACCCTTGATGTTACTGCTTCATCATTCAATAAGAACCCATGCATTTCACACTGTATACATTACAGAAATTCATGTTTTTTTTCTCTATTGTATTTTTCACCTGTTTCATATATTATAGGGTTATTGCATGAAAATTGGGGAATACTGTTCCTAGTAGAATTTTATATTGCATGAGCTTGCGAGTGCAATATATGTTCTACGAGGGACAATATTCCCCAATATTCATGCAATAACCCTTTTATTGTATAGCAATATAATATTTGAAAGTAAAAATTGGTTTAAACTAAGATTTTGTCGTTGATGACGTCATAAATTTTGAAGATTTATTGCACTAGTGCAATATTAGAATTTATTGCACGCTAACTTTTGGTTACTTTCTGTGGGAAATATTATATTGCTATGCAATACATATATTTATTACAGAGCATGCCAGTATTTATAATTATGTGTTGTTCAATAAGTGTACTATGTGTGTAATAGGAGACTGATTTGTAAAAGCAAATTTTCTTATTTCTGAATCCTAAATATTTATTTCAAATGTATTATATCGTTATGTGATGACTTATCTGAATAAATATTGTTTAAACTAAAAAATACATAAAAATAGCACATTGAATACAATATTTTTGTCTTTTGTTTTTTGCGTCTTTGTGTTTCTTTCTCATTTGTGAATACCCGACATCTACGCTTACTTTTCAACAAAAGACAAAAGATAAAGTAAAGCGACATGAGCGTATAGACAGCACATAGCAAAAGACATAAAATCAAAGAAATGACCAAGACTATCACAACAATGTTAAAAAAATAGTAACGTGCATGTTTAAAAAAAAGCCGGAAAGAACATATACAATACAATACAATAAAAAAGCAAACTTAGATAAAGATATCATAAAGTTAATATTAAATATATTGAAAATTGAATACATATATAAATACGGTGTGCCATTGGACATACCAGTAAAAGTTAGTCTTTAGTTTTAATGTTGCTCATACGTCAAAATTTTTCTAAAATAAGTATTCTCTGACATTCTCCGCTGACTTTACCAATAATTTTTTACTCAATTTTCCCAAAATGTTCTACTGGATAGCAGTTTCTTCGTTTTTCTCCCGCTATTGTTTTACGAAAATTTGACTGTATGCAAGATTCTGCGTTTATTTTAACGCCTGTATGAATCGATTAATTCTCTGCAATTTACCTCTGACTTCTCACTCAGAGTTTGACTGCATATCAAATTGTCAGC